CATATAAATGTAACAAACTAGGTTGAGAACCCCGATTGATAGAAGAAATCTCAAATAACAAACGTAATAATTAAAAATAAAAAAAATTGACAAAATAAAATAGTAAACCATAAACTTACGAAACTTCATCCTTCAAAAGAATTGTGTATTTAGAACCCCTAAGTATGCTACTTAGTTCCACATCTTGAACTGTACATTCCATGGTATCAATTAGAACAGTGCTAAAAAAACAACTGAACTTTCACCAATAAACTAGTGGTTGCTAAGGTGTGGTCAGCAGTTATATCAGCCATAAAAACTACAATACTAGAACCGCGTAATTGTAAAGAATTCCGTAGGGAAGCGGTAAATGACAAAGCTGATTATCACTGAAACAGTAAAATATCGCTTAACTTAGATCAATAATTATAACAATTTTTATAGGTCAACTTGGTTAACGGTGTTATATCAACAAAGACAGAGTAACACCAAATAGATTTAAGTCTGAAAAAAGGAAGTTTTTTTTGAGAAGAAAAGCAACTAACTGCAGTGTATATAAACTCCTATAGGTGAAGACAGCAGTTTGGAAAGAGCAAAAGAAAAAAAAAGGAATTATAAACAAACAAAGCTTGAAAAGAGAATAAAGAAATAGAAGAAAAAAAAGGAAGAAGGTTTGGAAGTTATCACTTAGTGGTGATAGTAAACAAGAAAGTAAGCGAACCAAATTTTAGTAAACAATTTTTCAAATTGTTATCAGTACTTAAAAACAACAGTTTAAAAAAAAGACAGAAGGAGTAAAACAAGCAAAAACTACTAAAACTGTTTCGGTATATTTTGTTATTCTTCTACGTTAATCAAAACTTTCCCCGAAAGATGAAAAAAAACTTGACAGACTCCTCTGATAAAACAAAAATTGAAAAAAAAAAGATAAGATTAACCAAACGACTCTAAAACATAATGAATAGTTATATGTCTTTCTTCTTCCAGTTACTACTTCCTAATTTCTTCTATTTTTCAAGAAATAAGTAAAAATAAAATTAAAAAAAAACAAAAAGAAAGATTATTTAAATAAACAGAAACTAAAGATAAAAATAGGTTTTCAAATTATTTT